TCTCAATTTTTCCCCGTATGTCTTTCCATTTAAACCGGCTCATCGAAGTTCTACATATCGGCGAGAAGTTTGTGCACGGAGCGCGTGCGACAGCTTCGACGTGCCTATATAGTCGATCATCGTGCTTCATCGCGATAAACAAATTTCATAACATTTCATTCGCGGACGATTTTATTACGTCAAATATATTCGCGATTATACGGTTAAATTAATGTTATTAAAAGTTTTCGTCGCGGATCTGTTTCATCGTGCTGATAAACGCTTTTAATCACAGTTTAAAAGAAAAAATGTGCAGAATGTTAGGGCGCTTCGAGAATTCATCAATTTCTCATAAATATCGAGTAAAAATAGTACGGACGAATAATGAGGAAAGGATAACGATATTCGATCGATATCAATATTGTCATAATTTTCAATGACTGGCCAAATTTTCTATGACCATCGAAAAGCGTGTAGAAATAATACAAGTAAATAAATAAAAGGAACAACAAGAAATAATATAATCGTGGCCGCTTTTTATAGACATCGAGAAGCCTGTGAAGGTGATAATTATTAATCAAAAATAATAATTTAATAAAAATTATTTAATTGAAAAGAATGACGAGAAATAATATAACATTTCTCGTTACTGTCGTCTTCTATTTATTATATATATATTTATTTATGAACGTGTGATTCATCGCTGTTATATTATTTCTCGTTATTCTTTTCAATTAAATAATTTTTATTATATTATTATTAAATTATTACATATACAATAATTTAATAATAACTAATTTGTATAAAATTATTATTATTATTAAGTTATTACATATACAATAATTTAATAATAACTAATTTGTATAAAATTATTATTATTATTAAATTATTACATATACAATAATTTAACAATGACTAATCTGTATACAATTATTATTATTATTAAATTATTACATATACAATAATTTAATAATAACTAATTTGTATAAAATTATTAGTATTATTAAATTATTACATACATAATTATATATTAATAATAATAATAATAATTTAATAAAAATTAGTTGAATAACTTTTTATCGCGATCACGAAATATTATTCGTGCGATCCACTCGGCACTGTCCCCGTATTAAACATCAATCGCGTTTCGATATATCAATCGTCTAATGCGTTCGAAAACACAATGAATCGCGTCGCGTCGCGTCGCTGATTAAAAGCAGCGGGGGGAATACATTAAGTATTGAATTAACGAACAAACACACGGTAAACATTGATATGAAAATTCAGGTGGCGGTAATATTTTATTCCGTAATAACGGTGAATTACGTTGGGCGGGG